TGATGAACTTAAAAATGAGCAAATTTAACTCATTAGGTGCTCCTATTATTCTTTTCATACTGTGAGCAGGCACGATGGTCACTATCTTGCACGACACGTCTCATTTTTGAGTAAAACTCATCTTTCACATTTATTTCAGACTTCTTGACTAAAAATACACGGAATAGGTATCTAGTCACCTTCCTAGCCTTGTTTGGTGAATTTCTTTTCAAAAATGCACCCATCCGCTTTTCAAATTTAGCCACAATCTTGGATTTTGGGCACTTTCTGTAAGCGGGAGGGCTGTTTTGACTTGAGACATGAAATTTACAACCAAAATTTCATAAGAATTGGTACACCTCACTCGCATTTTTCACGTAAAAATCTAAAAACTTCACCCTCCTGCCTTTCAAATTTAGCCGCCATCTTGGATTTAGAGCACCCCCTTTGGTATCGGGGAGCTGTTTTGAAATTATTAATGAAATGCACGACCAAAATTACATAGGAAACGACACCTCACTTGCCCAATCACGTGTAAGTTGAAAAATGACCCTCTTGCCTTTCGAATTTGGCCGCAGTCTTGGATTTTGGGTCACCTTCTTTGACCTAAGGACTTTTCAGACTTCAGAAATGAAATCTGCGACCAAAATTACATAGGAAACGATACCTCACATGACACTCTAGGAACATTTTAAAATACCGAAATTCCACATAGGCCCTTATTATGGCCGCCATTTTGAATTTTCGTCATTTTGGGGGGTGATCCAGGGTCGGACCGTGGTAAACTTTTTGTATGTTATTCAGGAGGACCTACTGATGACGTTTACACAGGAAAAAATTGTTATGTAATTTGTTCCGGGTTAAGCCCTTTTTTTCGTATTTCTCACTGACACACATTAAGCCAATGGACGACGTTCGTTACCTATCGTAGTTTCAGGTATAAATTTGCAATAAATCTTAACAAATTTGATGTCATTATACTCAGTATTAACGCTGCTACACGTTATGGATCAGTTTCTTGTGTTAACTTGTACGTAACGATGATCATTGCTTTTCAAAGACACAAACCGCAAAACAGCGCAGGGTAGTGGGGAACTCATCACTAGATCGCATGGAATCACCTTAAGCACTCATTTAAAATTATTCGCAGGATATCTCAATGCGATATTTTAATTTATTTTCATTTGAAATGATAAAACGCAAAATCGGAGATTATGAAATGTTGCGACGTAGGTACTTATTTGCCGACTTTAGCCATACTTTTGCACATGGGTGGTAGGTATATATTTTAAACAGGCCCGGTCTTTGGGTAAAGCGAGCCGTGCGGCCGCAAGGGGCGCCGAGGGCGCCTTGGAGGCATTACAGAGCACCGAAGGCGCGCGCGCTCTAGATCCCCCCTTCCCACCCCTCAATTTTTTAATGCTATAACATTTTTGGGTTATGTATTGTTGTGGGAACGCTTAAGTCTTTACAGGCTTAAGTTCCCCGCATTCGGCTCCATAGATGAGGCGTGCTTTGCGTCATGGCTTTTCGTGAGAATTCACGAATTTCCATGGCCAGCGATAGAGATAGGTCCGTCGGAAGTTAGCGCTTGTTTATGTCTAAACGTGAAGCTTCAGTGTCGCGGAAGTGCACACGTTTTGACATAAAAAGATTCGGTGATCACATGGGCGAGATCAGTCTCGAGGAATAGCTTCCCAGATGGTCCGGTCAGCCCCCGTGAGTGTTGCTTGAGAGATTAGATATATATATATATATATATATTCATTGTTCATTGTTTATATATTCATTGTCCATTGTTCATATATTCATTGTGTTCTTCATTTGTGCAAGATTCCCCCACAACAGTATTGTTGATTTGTTACGATCAAAGTGCATCTTCAAAAGGGGCACCTTCGGCGCACAACCCTCTTCTATCAGTGCCGTGGGCGCTTTTTTTCTTTTCTTTATTTTGTGAATGCGATGAAAGTTTTGCTTACCTACTTCTAATACTTCATTTTGCCAGGGCTAGAAGGTCAGAAACCTCCTTACAATGTCTCGGAAACATCGGCGGGCGCACTCTATTTCATCCTTTTTTCGAATGTGTCAATTAAATGAATTTTCTGTTCATTGTTAGCATTTTTCTTATCAACGGTGAAAGAAGGGCAGCGTAGTTCTTACGGCGCGGCGCGGCGCGGCGCCTCCAAAAATTAGAGTGCGTTCTGGTTTTTTCCAATCTTCTGTTCGCGTGTTTGGAATGCAATAAAATGTTTAATTTAGGCACTGTTGGAACTTCGTCTTTTTAAGCCAAAAACAGCCCCAGTGAAGCCCTCCAGCCGCGCCCTCTCAAAGTAAGGACGCAATTTGTGCAAATAGCATAATAATGAGGAACGATAAAATGACCAACAGGGTGGTTTCACGATATAACTGGAATAGTTTTGTCGCCGCAACAGACAACACATTTTCCGGTCATATTTTTAGTGGAAATGATACCTAATCACTCGAGTTTTTTCGCATTAATCTTCAAGGGGTTGCATTATAACGATTTCTAATTAATTATTGCTCTACTTCTCAATTAATATATATTATGTAAATTCCGAAAATGTGCTGTCTTAGCAGGCCCGCCACATTCCATCTCGGGCCCTAGTACCAATTTTAAGGCTCGGGCCCCCACCACAGGGGGGGGGGGGGGCGAGGGGCCTCCCCTGGGAAATTTTTTAAATTTTAAATCTATTTGAACGCACTTTGAAGGTCCCATGATGGAGATTTTCCATCAATTTCTGCAGAATAATTACGCCTTTTTTTATTTACTTTCAGCCCAAAATACTTCCGAATTGTTGCATTTGAAACATCTGAATTTTTTTTTTTTTTTTGGGGGGGGGGCAGATGATACTATTTTCAATTCTAGGAGGAGAGGGGGCCAGGTCACCCAGGACTCTCCTTTCGTACGTCTATGGCAAGGGAGTTGAGCCATTGAAGTCTAGGATGCCCAGACTGGAGACTCTCAGCATCCGACGACGGAAGAAAATGATAGATAGATAGATAGATAGATAGATAGAATACTTTATTTTTTATCCTGGGGAGGATTTAACAAAGGGGGTTAGGTTGGGAGATCATTTACAAACATGAGATTACTTTATAATGCTACACCTTATCTCTAAGATTTGCTGGGTTTACGGTTATGTACATGAAATAGCAGCGTTCATTATAGGCAAACTTTGTTTCTTAGTTCAATTATTCATTTATTATGAACGATCTTATACCTACTCAGAATTGTCGCAAAATAATTATAAATATCTGTAAGCTGTTGCTCGTTTGAGTCTTTACTGAGAAGTAGGTTTATGTCTTTGTTAAGGTAGCAGTGTAAATAATATTTTCGAGTGTTACGGTAAATGGGGCAAACAAAGAATAAGTGGTGCGCATCTTCAGGCTGTTGAGTATTACAGATTGTGAAAATTTCGTTAGTGTTAATTCTATGGTTCATCTGATTGATAGTGAGGTTAAGGGAGTTAGCAGACGGAAGAAAATGAAACGCATTTATACTAAAAATATCATTCTATACTAAAAATCTTGAAAATGGATAGAAATCCTACTAAATTATAAATCTTAAAAGAAATGAGAAAAATTCGAAAGTATGTCCCAGCGTGTTTTTGAAAAGTTATTCACCTTTTACGAAATTTTTAGGGTAAATTCTTCAAGGCCTCTCTAAATCTCTATTTACTGTATAATCACTGTCCTCCTATTGTGGGGAGGGAGGACAGTGCTTATACTATATTAAAATACCCTCTCTAGGGGTTGCCCTATAATATAACAATAATATAAAGTTAAAGTTACGACCCTTTTTTGTCTCTTACGAGACAAGGGTAATACGTGAATTCGTAGTGGTTTGTCACCGGCGGCGCGGCCCCTGTTAAAAATGTCCCATGTGCAATATCCAGAAAAATTCCCACGGGGGCACATGGTATTTTGGGACGCGAATTACTCCGGGGTGCACATGGGAATGGAGTCTCCCCATGGGGGCCCATGGGAATGGGGTCTCCCCATGGGGGCCCATGGGAACGGGGCCTCCCCATGGGGGCCCAAGGNTGTGTCTTATACGCGGTAAAAAGTCAGCGTAACAGGCAGCACATTTTCGGCCATTTATATATTAAAATTATTGAAAAGTAGAGCGGTAAATCTTTGAAAAACGTTATAACACGTAACCCTGTGTAGATTACCTAATGCAAAAAAATTCTAGTGATTATTATTACTACTAAAAAAATGACCGAAAAATGTGGTGTCTGTTACGGCGACAAAACTATTCCGGTTATCGTGAAACCATCCAACAACGTCATGTGTAGAAGCTCCCGCTCTAAGTAAAAGCTCCCTCTGGATTTGGGCGAAAAAAAAACATCGTCGGTGTTATACGGTACGGTCCTCTCCACGTAGATGAAAACGCCTGCAAAGTCAGCTCTTGGATTGGATATGACGTCTCGCGCATTTACATTCAAGTAGATATGTTCTACATTATTCTTGGCCGACAAAATTTCGTTCTTGCATTGAAGTTATTTTCTTTCCTCACCCACCATCGGGGAGCATGGGCGAAGGAAGGAGGACGGGACCTGCCCCCCAGAATTGAAGATAGAATCATCTGCACCCCTCCTCGAAATTCTGGATAGTGGAATATAACCTTCGTCAAAGATCTAGATCTCTTTTAATGCAGAGTTTTCAATGAAAAACATCGTTCTCATTTGGTTAGTATTTTCAAAAATGTCCGTCATGGAAGACTTAAAATACGTCCAAATAGGGTTAAAACTTCAAAAGAATTCCGGGGGTGGCCCCCCCCCCCCCCACTTAACTTCTGCGTAGCCTCCTGGTGGTTAGGGGGCGCTATTTGGGTGTCTCGCAAAGGGTACCTCAAACCCTAAGACCAGCCCTGTTTAAACAACAATTGAAATCGCGAAAGACACATATAATGGAAGTTATTTACCTACTTCTGATTTTTAGTGATTTGTTATATAATTACACATACTTATGACTTGTACCTAATTTTATTGTTTTAGTTAGCGGCAGCAATAGATCATTTGCACGCCAGAAATCTGGTGCATAGGGATGTTAAGCTAGATAACGTGCTTGTTTTCAAGTCGGACTTCTCCAGGATCAAATTATGTGATTTCGGCGAGACCCGAAGATTCGGCGCCTCCGTTCGACGAAGAAACGAATGGATTCCATACTGCCCTCCAGAGGTTTTACTGACTGATGTAGATCAAACTTACAAGTAAGTTTACGAGTAAGTAACCACCCAGCTCAGCTTTTATAAGCTTGATGAATTTCTTCTCATTTTTTAGACTAAAACGCATGAAGCTCTGTAAAATGTTCTGGGGAACTTACCGGTTTCACAAATGGCCGGCTTCCCCTTCTTCTCGACCCTTTCCTCCCCCTTTCCCCTCCCCCTTTCCCCTCCCCCCTTTCCCTCCCTTTCCAACATCAATCACCTGTTGCTTTCGGACTCCACTCTGCTATACTCGGCTACTTCCGGTCACTCCCAGCCAATGACGTCATCCAATGCAGGCATCCGTTGATTACAGGTGCGGTGTTAAAGTCTCCAGAGTTACCCGGAGACGTAAGCAACCGTTTTTGAACTTTGAAGGAATTAATTATCCGGAGACCTGCTACGTTACGCTACGTCAGTCTCCCAATAGCTCTTCAACTCTCTGATCTCTAGCATGAGGTCGGAGATTACCGGAGAGTGACGTAGAAGTGAGGTTAGCCTTAGGGTCATTCACTTCAACCAGAGACAAGAGACCCTCCACTAGTAACTTGGCTATGGTGGAAGCTTTTACTTTCGGGACTTCAGCATTCTACTGTTGACTTACCTACATGGTTGATGTTCAAGAACGTGTTGGCAGTTTCGTTTTGCAAACAAGCCGAAAATGGCCGACGTTTGGGAAAGTTGTTTGGCTTATGACGTCATCCGAAGCTCATCATCGACCATGTAGGTAAGTCAACAGCCGATAATATGGTGATGACTGTTGCTCGCTCATAATTGTCCATAAGGAATTGTTGAAACCCCGAAAGTAAAAGCTTCCACCTGTCGCTAGGAGGCCTGTGGAGGGTCTCTTGTCTCTGACTTCAACTGTGCCAGGCTCGGAACCCGACCCCCTCCGATTTGGCTGAAAATTGGTATACGGGGTCTTTACATCATTATAAGAAATCAATTTGAAGGGTTTTCCCATCTGACACCTCGTTCGCGAGATATCGACCCCCAAAGATGGGGTGAATTTTAGCGATATTCAAAAACGCCCGTTTTAGCGATTCTCATTTTCTCGACTACCCTCTCTTTGACTCTCCATAGCGAGACTCTATTCATCATACATTGTAAGAATGTTTCTAAACCAATTTTTCATGTAGATTCTGAGTATGCCATCGAAATTAAGCTAAAAATTATTCTAATGGTCGTAATTTAGGGTTTTTTAAAATTTACGATTTTTTCGCCATTCAATGTTCAAACTGAATTCTCTAAAAAACTGACTCTCAGATTTTCGATTTTTTTTTTCGAAGTGGCTATTCGTCGGTACGGTACCGACGGATAAATGGCTATTCGTCGGTACCGTACCGATGAATAAATAGCTATTCGTCGGTACCGTATACTTTGATTTTAGTACGTAAATTATATTAAAGATATGATTTCTTGATAATATTTTGGTGGAAGTTAAGAGCTAAAAATTGGGTGAAAGATGGAAAAAAACCCAACACGAGTTGTAAAGAAATATTCTCCAAATTTAATTCATGTATTTAATACTCTCACATAATACTGAAATGTACTACTCCGTCAAATAAATAATCATAATACTGAAATGTACTTCACTGTCAAATGAATCATCATAATACTGAAATGTACTACTCTGTCAAAAGAATCATCAAGAACGCTTCTTTTTTCGGGTGGTGGGGCCTTTAGTTTCATTTGCAGGTGTTTTCTTTCGTTTTCGTTTTTCGGGGGGATTTTCCACGGATTGTCGGTCGGCAACGGTGCGATTAAAGGAACAAAGTTATCTTGCTGGCAGTTTAGGTCGCCCTCGTGAAATGACTTTACTCTTAAATTTTAGCTTCGTGAAGCTCTCTGCACTGACATTTTCGTCAGGTGGAGCAGCAACAGAAACCGAAGATTCGCTAGTGGTGAAATAGCTCTCTGCACTATGATCGTTGTTAGTTGGGGCAGTAACAGAAACCGAAGATTCGCTGGTGGTCAACGAACTACACCTCTAGAATGGCCGCGAGATAGCAAACCTGCGTAACNTCATATTCAAGTATGTTACGTGTCTAGTTGTCCTTGACACCATTTTCGAAGCTCATCGCTGGTACCTTTAGGCCCATTTCAAAATCTTAGGTAGAACCACGAAAAACGCGAAATTTCAGCTATTTTCGGCTCCGGAGCCATGATTAGGCCCCTGTTTCGCAGCCAAAAAACGTGAGTATCGGCAAAACTCGATTATTTCTGTCAAATATGCACCGTCAACTACCAAGTATCCAAACATTTCTCAATTCCGTGGAAGGGCCGATTGCGGCCCAAATCGTAACCCCTCCTTTCCCCTGGGAATGAACACGATATCACATGTGCTCCCTTGAGGAATATCCAGGAAAGCCCCTATGCTCCCAAGGGAATGACAGAGGATCCCTTCTGCTCCCAAAAAAGGAATGAACATGGGGTCATTTGTGCACCCATGGGAGTCTGGGGATCTTCAGACCCGCGCGTCCCACAGCTTTGAGGTTTGGTTCGCGGACTTCCGGTTTCTCGATCGTTTTTTTATTGTATTTATTTTTAAGCTATTTTTTTATGTATTGATTTTTTTATTGATTGATTTATTTTCGTAATTTTTTTCAGGTGCGTTAAAGCCAAAAGATGCTTTGGAGCCGAATAAATTCGATATACTACTACCATTTTATTTAAATAATTTAAAATATTTTATTTTTTTATTAAAACACATTTCAATCGACTTATTAATTGTTTATTTTAATCTACTTTATTTTATTTAATTAATTTATTTAATATAATCTATTTTATTTATTTATTCGTTTTTTCATTTTATTCAATTTCATTCATTTATTTTTCTTTGATTTAATAACTGTACATATTTCTTTTTTATTTGACTCATGTGTTATTCACTTCTTTCTTTCCAAACATTGATCTGCTTTTTATTATTTCTGTTTCTTTGAAACTGCGTAATGTAGAATGTTCCAAGAAAATTGTTGCTTTCCATCATGGAATCGCCGCGGCGCTGGGGACGTTTATGCTTGCTAAATTACCTTCGATGAACATGCGAGCCTCCGGAGCTCCGCGACAGCGGCAATCGGGCGATCACGGGGGTTAAGCAACGTCGAGCGTAGTTAGTACTTACAATTAGATAGACGGAAGACCGCTTGGGAATGATCGCGGTGCGGAGATTTGCATAATAGCTAAGAATTCCTTTCATGTCTGAAACATGCCACGGTAACATAACACAAATTGGTTTTCTTGTTTGTGAATAACACATGAGTCAAATAAAAAAGAAATATGTACAGTTATTAAATCAAAGAAAAATAAATGAATGAAATTGAATAAAATGAAAAAACGAATAAATAAATAAAATAGATTATATTAAATAAATTAATTAAATAAAATAAAGTAGATTAAAATAAACAATTAATAAGTCGATTGAAATGTGTTTTAATAAAAAAATAAAATATTTTAAATTATTTAAATAAAATGGTAGTAGTATATCGAATTTATTCGGCTCCAAAGCATCTTTTGGCTTTAACGCACCTGAAAAAAATTACGAAAATAAATCAATCAATAAAAAAATCAATACATAAAAAAATAGCTTAAAAATAAATACAATAAAAAAACGATCGAGAAACCGGAAGTCCGCGAACCAAACCTCAAAGCTGTGGGACGCGCGGGTCTGAAGATCCCCAGACTCCCATGGGTGCACAAATGACCCCATGTTCATTCCTTTTTTGGGAGCAGAAGGGATCCTCTGTCATTCCCTTGGGAGCATAGGGGCTTTCCTGGATATTCCTCAAGGGAGCACATGTGATATCGTGTTCATTCCCAGGGGAAAGGAGGGGTTACGATTTGGGCCGCAATCGGCCCTTCCACGGAATTGAGAAATGTTTGGATACTTGGTAGTTGACGGTGCATATTTGACAGAAATAATCGAGTTTTGCCGATACTCACGTTTTTTGGCTGCGAAACAGGGGCCTAATCATGGCTCCGGAGCCGAAAATAGCTGAAATTTCGCGTTTTTCGTGGTTCTACCTAAGATTTTGAAATGGGCCTAAAGGTACCAGCGATGAGCTTCGAAAATGGTGTCAAGGACAACTAGACACGTAACATACTTGAATATGATCAACCGTCGCCTTTGAGCCGAACTTAAAAATCTAACTTTTCCAGCGTTTTAGCCCGAAATAGCTGAAAATCCATGTTTTTCAGGGTTCCACCTCTGATTTCAGAATCTGGAGTTGACAAGTTTAACTATACGTGAAATAGTATATAACCCATTTTTTAACAGTCATTCAAGTGACTTGTGACCGTCAATATAGTAAGACTGTATGAATCCATTTTCTATATTCGAAGGCAAAATCTGGGTTCAGTCCAGAACCTGAATAGAACGTGAGACAAACGGGAATTTTCGACTATTTCGGGCTAAAACGTTGGTAAAGTTCGATTTCGAAGTTGTGCCCGAAGGCGACGGTTGATCATATTTAAGTATGTATGTTAAGTTAGCGTCTAGGTGTCCTTGACACCATATTCGAAGCTCATCACCTTTTACCTTTGGGCATAGGTCGAAATCTGAGGTAGAACCGCGAAAAACATGGATTTTCAGCTATTTCGGGCTAAAAAGTTGGAAAAGTTCGATTTTGAAGTTGGGCCCAAAGACGACGGTTGATTATACAGGGTGTCCCAAAAGTCCGTACCTCCCACCCCTGGTAAATTTTGAACGGTTGAAGATAGATAAACGAAACTTTGAGAATGTTTCTATCACAAAGGAGACCATCTTTTAGGGGGGGGTCAAAATTTTTGCCCCTCCCTCAGGGAGGGGGGGGGGCAACCATTTTTTTTAAATGGTAACCCCTACCTCGTGATACATCATTAAAAAGAACATTAAAAACTAAGAACACGTTCAGCCTTATTCTGAAGTTGGAATTGTTTCTTTATCGAATCGATGGTTTCTTCTATCTCTCTGCAACGGCAGTGGTGACCGACAGTAACGAGATATCGAAATTTAAAGCTACCGAATCACTCAAGCGGTCCGATGAGTAGTTTTGGCGAGGGGCCTAGATCCATTGCTCTCGATCTCTACATAATATCGATATCTCGGTACTGTAGGCACCACTGCCGTTGCAGAGAGGTAGAAGGAACCATCGATTCGATAAATAAACAATTCCAACTTCAGAATAAGGCTAAACGTGATTAAATAAGTAATACATTTTTTTTGTGATTGCGGTGGCAGTTTCCATGAAAACTGACAACCCCGCCTCTACGCGAATTCCGACGGAAATTAGGCAATGTTGTCAACACCATGTCGCAAATGGTCAGTTTAGGTTAACAAATGTAGCTGGATAAGATTAAATGAGTACTACTTTAAATTGTGATCGCAGCGGTGGTTTTCATCGAAAACCGGCAACACCGCCGCTACTTAAATTCCTAAAAATCATGTGAAAGTTTCAAAAAAGCGCAAAACATGAACTGACTTTTCGAATTTTGTTTGGTCTAGGCGTTTTGCTTCAACACGGAGTTGCGAAACGTACCTAAACGAGCGTCAATATCGGGGTATCGGGCGTGTTACCGAATTTTCAAATCGCTATAACTCGTGTTCCCTACTTCTCTCAGAAAAGTATAGTATATCGATGGATGCGGAATCAAACGAACAATAGTTCCGACAGGTTTTTATTCAATCCCCACCAACCGCAAACACTTTTTTAGGCGGTAACGTGATTTTAAATAATTACAAAAATTAAAACGATGGCCAAAATGTGGCAACAATGGAGTCAAATTAAAATTTCTTTGGCATTGGTCGATAGAACGTAATTTTTTGCATCTTTTGGTATAAATACGAGCTCTGTAACTGCATTTCTGCAAAAGTTACGGATGTTTGAAGCAGGTTACGACTTTAAAAAATGGCAACGCTATTTCCCTGGAGTTCCTGCAAAAACGGAGCTAGGGATTAGCCTCTCTCAACTAGTACTATCAGCCCACAAAGTTTCGTACATTCCGGGCTGGGTACATTTTTCGCCTATATGAATAACCCTCTTTACCAAATTGTGCGCACTTTTCAGTAAAAATCACAGGAATTACTTAAAATTAATTTTAAGGGGGGGGGGGGTTCAGACCCTCAAATACGTCAGTTCAAAGGTCATACGATTTTTCTGCGAAATAAGCCAATTTTCCATAACTTTGCGTCAAAATTACCTCGGTAAGTTCAAAATTAGTTCAAAATTGCGTTTTAAAGTCCCCCAAATCTCGAGCAAAGTTAAAAAAAGAAATTTAAACTGTCAAATTTAATCACCTTAAATTCCATTTTTTTTAACTCTGCCCGAGATTTGAGAGACTTTAAAACGCAATGTTGAACTAATTTTGAACTTACCGAGGTAATTTTGAGGCAAAGCTAGGGAAAATTGGTATCTGTAATTTTTGAACTCAGCGACCCCCCAAGAATACCTAAAAATGTATTTTGCACGGTTTGGATATGAAGTCTGATTCATTAACACCCAAATCGACTTTGGAACCATATTTTGGCGCGCGAAAATTGGTTGGCGCGCGTTGAGCGGAAACTTCAATAGCTCATAACTCCGAAACCGTTCGGTTCCCCAGCTTACATGACCACTCGTTGGATTCGAAAAAAGACGAACATTTTAAAAAACTGGTTTTGGTTCAAACACAAAAATGTGGTCTTTCAGTTTAGTGTGTTCAAAAGAAATTGTTTTTCCTCAAAAACTGAAAAAAAGCACATAAGTTAACTTAAAAATACAATTTTGGAATTTTGACTTTTAGAATCTTAAAGTATGCAATTTTAGACGATTTTTCGTCGAAACCGGGCCTCAATATCTTTTTTCGTTCGAAACATATCGAGGTTCACAGATTTTGACTTCCACCCCCCTAGCGCCTCCCAAAATGTTTTGGGGGTCTGAAAATTTGGGGAATGAAGCGCTCCAATATGAGTAACTGATAGAGACGTTTGAATAAGTTTTAGTGAGGGGGGGGGGCGAAAAAAGTCGTTTTTGTATACGCCTCATTTTAAATGAAATGGAACAGATAAACTTTGAGATACGGTTGTACACAGATTTGGGAGACGCCAAACGGACGGACACACACTTTTTCAAGATGGTTATTTTGACTTCAGGGACCTTAAAACGTCTAGGAATGATGAAATTTCAACTGTTTTTTTTCTTAGATGACAATACTTCCTCTACTCGCAAAGGGAGCGAGAAAGTAAAAAACCTAGGAGCCAATTTTCAGCCATCTTGAACTTTAACCGGCCGCCATTTTGAGATGGCTTGAGATATTAACTTCGGGTTTACGCGAAAAGTTTTCTTTTTTTACGTTCTTTCGAACGTGGTACCACGAGAGGGGTCTTTCCATTTGAAAAAAAGTTGGGGTCCTTTGCCCCCCATCGCAAGGGGGCCCCCTCTGAAAATTTTAAGGGGGCGAAAAGTATAGCTTTGACCTAGGAATATCTCCCAAGTTTCAAATCTTTATTTCAATATATTTAAGTGCTGTTTTATGTCAGCACTTAAATATTACTAACTATATTACTTTATGTTTATATTATTCTACCTCTCCTTTAAAATTTTAAGGGGGCAAAAAGTATAGCTTTGACCTAGGAATATCTCCCAAGTCTCAAATCTTTATTTCAATCAAGTAAAAAGCTAGAAGAGGTGTAAGGGACTTTTGGATAAATATGCATACATAGGTACGCTTATGCTTCACGAGAAACTATTTTTTTGTATTTTGCATTTTTCAGTGGCAAATCATCGGAATCTTTTGCAAGGATCTATTTTCAAAGTTACCACGTAGACTTGTACAGAAGTTTCGTAAAAATTGTCCATTTTTATGATGCTATGCTGAGACCTACATAAAGCTGGTCTTCTTCTGGAAAGAAGTAATCCAAAGGACAACTATGAATGTAACCGAAGTGAAGGGCCCTCAATGAGTGGTACATCTTTTAAGATTGACCTTAAATGCATTTTGTTTCAGGGCGGATACGTCACACGACGTGTGGCAGTTTGCGATCGTGCTGTTCGTATGTCTGACCGGGTGTTTGCCATGGCAGAAAGCGGCCCTAGACGACCCTCGCTACAGCCGTTTTCTTTTCTGGCATGGGAGCAATGGTGTGCTTATGCCAATCCGCCAGCCGAAACTTTTCAAACTCCTGTCTTCGAAGGCCCAACGCTTTCTTAGGAAGTTCCTGGAGCCCCGCCCCGAAAAGCGGCCCAGTCGACTGGCACAACTCTCTGCCTACACCGACGACCGATGGCTCGCCAAATCCTCCTTTGAAAGATCAAGTGGTAACACTTCCTACTCTTAAGTGCATTTTTCGGTCATAAGGAATTTTAGATTCCGCTAAGTCACGTCGTATCAATCATGGGCGAAATCATAGTTATGGGAGCCTACTCCCCCCGCCTCCTATTCCCTAAAATTGAAAATAGTATCATCCAGATAAATAAGTACCAGAGAATATGTAGGTATGGTGGAAAAAAATCTTCGTCAATGGTAACTCTTTGTAACAATGAAAAAGTATTTTGAGTTGAAATTTATGTGCAGAAATTAACCCCTATAGCAGATGCCCAAGACTTTTATGCATATACGCGAAGTCCCACTTCGGGTCAAATTGACCCGTATTCAAATACAGTATTCTCTCGCTATAACGCGCGAAGGAATCGTCTGGTCCCTTTAACGATTTTCTCGCTATAACAACACTCATAATAATGAAAATCTCTCTTTTGCGAGGGAATCGCTCGGTCTCTTGCCGATTCGTTACAGCGAGAGAGTACTGAACATAGATCTCGATTATTTTCATTACTTTTTTAAAAAGACCTACAAATGGAAAATTTCATTTCAATTTCCCGGGGATTTCCGATGACGTTTTTTGATTGGTTAATGAATAAAGGATCAATGGAAGCAAATCGACACAAACGTACACACAAGAAACCGGTGATAGGACATAATGTCCCAAAAAAATTCCACGAACAAAAAAATTTCCGGGTGTCTGAAATGTCCAGTAGCGGTAAAATGGCCCAAATAAAAATGCCCAAATGTCCGGTATTACCTACTGTAAGTCATAATTAATATTGCCATTTAGATGTTCTTATTAATTGTTCATACTTCCTCATCACTTACGTCTTGCGGCTCGATGCTAACTCGAACATAAGAAGCTATCCCCCTAAGATATCGTAAAATATCGTATTTATTTCTTTATCTTTAAATTTTTTTTACCATTGGTCGTGCCAGGTTAACTATACCAAGAAAAAGGTAGGAAAACTCTGTATCACTGCTTCTTCATTATCCCCATAGATATTTCTGTAGGAAGCTTCCAAGCACACCATTTTGCCATTGAGTCACGTTTGGGCATTTTTGTTTTTGGCCATAATACTGCTATTTGACATTCCAGATATTTTGCCATGCCTTAGACATAGAGTTTTTTGACTATGGACATTTTTGTACTTTGAACTTTTATTTTTGGACATTTTATCCCATTACCCAAGAAACGGCTAATATTTTTTTAATATATTTTTTAAATATTATCTACATAATTTCTATGCTTTGATGGAAAGTGAGAAATACTTTTTTGAAAAGTTCACCTTTTCGGTAACATACAGGCGCTCTCCGCTCCCTCCTATCTCATCCGCCATATGTAACCCCCCCCCCCCCCCCCCCCNAGAGATAGTCCGATGAATTTGATCAGACTTAGGATTTCCAGGGATAGTCGCAAAAAATAATCGAGTTATCAGACGCCCTTTGGAGTGCTTAAGAGACCTCTAAAGGGTCGAGTAGAATCAAACAAGTTTTGTTCTACCATGTAACCCGACTCCTTAGCCCTTATGTGTTGTACCTCAGATTCGGGGGAAAGGTGAGAAAACGAGGCTCGAATACGTTTCTCCTATCTTCGATTGTGTTGCCCTTGAAGCACCACTACAAAGAAGACAAACAGAAAAAAACACAAAATGGAAATGAAGTAAAGATTAGGACGTGCGGTGATGACGGCGGAAAGATACAACTACTCGTGCCTCTGGTAAAAACGACGGACACCCCAAGGATAGAAATTCTTGGGCGCGCGGACACCTAGTAGGCCATACGGACAAAGATGACTGTGCGAACACCCCGGTCGCGGTATGGCCGTGCGGACACCTGCAATGGGCATGGAATTATTTCCGTAAACCTCGCGCGCGTTCACAAAGAAAGTCGGCGCGTGGTTGCGCCACTGGCGCGGGGCAATTCCATAGCGCGCGACCAGTATTCCTCCGCGCGAAGTAAAACTCGACGCCCGTGACATAGGTATCGCTGCGCGCTGTCAGTGTTTCTCCGCGCGAGGTGTAACTCGACGCGCGCGAGAGCAAACCCGCCGCGCGCCATGTAGGATCGCATGGCTCAAGGTTGTATGTTGCCAAACGTCTTTTTAATTAAAGTTTAAAAGCTAACCTAACCTAACCTAACCTAACCTAACCTAACCTAACCTAACCTAACCTAACCTAACCTAACCCTACCTAACCTAACCTAACCTAACCTAACCTACTATTAAACTAAAATTAAATCTACATTTCGTCACCTTCCAGGCAAAGTATCACAAGCGCTATGCGACGTTCAAAAATTTCCGCCGCCATTTTATTTTTTTACTGAGAGATTGTTGGTTGAATCTGTTTGAAAATTTTACTAGATTTTATCGGCAGCAGAAAGAAAATTCGGTGTAATTTTCGGACAGCTTCGTTGAACAGTTTCTCTGTAAAGAAATAAAATGGCGGCGGAAATTTTTAAACGTCGCATGGCGCTTGTGATACTTTGCCTGGAAGGTGACGATTTGGCAGCCTTGTCTTGACCTTGTTAAGGCTCTGTAGCAGCGCGCGCGAGAGATTTTCGCCCGCGCGAGGTATTGTCGTGACCTTGGAGATTTCTTCGCGCGCGGTGAGATTACTTCGCGCGCGCGAAGATTCTTTGCGCGCGCCGACTCTACTGCTCACGCGCCGACTTTTTTCGTGAACGCGCGCGAGGTTTCGTGAACGCGCGCGAGGTTTACGGAAATAATTCCATACGCGCGCGAGGTTTCGTGAACGCGCGCGAGGTTTACGGAAATAATTCCATACATAGGATCCCGGTGTAGCCGTGAGCACACCTGCGATGGGCGTACGAACACCAAAGATGGGCGTGCGGCCACCTTATCAACAGTGAAATTGCAGACACACATATCTTTGCTGCTATTTTACTATTAAGAAATTGAGAGATAACGCACCATTTCTTAAAATTTTTGAGGAATTTCTGCAGACTAAGAAAAAAAAAACAAGGAAGTTGGAAGGAATCTCTTAGTCTTCAAAAGAAATTGAAGTCTTAGTCCGGGTTCTTATGTTCAAAAACAGCTTCCCGTGGAACGGTAAGTGAAGCAAGTGTGGAAAATATCTTAATCTCTTCATTTCGATGCGTAAAAAAAGAATTTCGATGTTGTCAAGCTCAATTTTGCGTCTAACCCCCCAAAATCAAGATGGCGGCCAAAATGGGGACTCGGGGGGTGAATATTATGGAATTTGATTTTGATGTCATGATTGGGGTCGATTCTTATGTAATTTTGGTCGTAGAATCCGAATTTGAAGTCCAAAATACTCTCCGACCCAAAGTGATGCCCCAAATCCAAGATGGCCGCCAAAATCTCCAAGATAGGGTCAAAACTGAGAAAGGTATGTAAAAGTGCCAAGTAGGGTGTTCTTGGTAGGGTTCTTTGGGTCGTAGATTTCACATATGACGTCAAAAACTTACTACGGATCCATTGAAGCCCAAAAAAATCAAAATGGCGGCCAAAAGGGCTGCCGTTGCGGAGTGAAATATTTTGTTGAGGCAAATATCGTCGAATGAGGTGTCACTGTTTAGGTTTTTTGGGTCGTAGATTCCAAAAATGAGGTCCAAATAACAAAATAAGCTGATAGAAGTTCTCCAAAAGCCAAAATGGCGGCCCTAATGGCTGCCGCCCAGGCATTGAGCGCGTTTGAACAATAGGGTGTCCCATTTTGGACGTTAAAAAAAAATTGCGAAATTCAACAGAGATACTTGTCAAGAAGTTGTCTCATAGTTAGAAAAAAAAGCACAAACAAATCTCAGGGTCGTAGCTAAAGGTTGGGTGGTCCCGCGAGGTACTTAAGATGTTTCACCGATTTCTCAGCTTGGCGATCTTGCAGATTTTTTTTCGGTAAATGCAATCGAGGCAGAAAGTCGCAAATGCGGATAATGAGACTTCTGATACTATATTTTAAGAGAAAAATAACGGTTTGGACCCACGAGGATCAGAATTCCTCGTTCTTAGCTCTCAAAATGCAAAAATCAGCGATTTTAGCATTTTGTAGTCAAACCGCTGCTCGACCGTCGCTCGACTCAAATGTCGCGGCATTTGACGCGCTATCTCACAATGATCCCATTGTAGGAGTAAAAAGTCCTTCAAGTATGTTCATTAGAGGTGTAAGAGGGTCACTTTGGCCAATTTTTGTTGATATTAAACATTGAGCTCATTGTTTAAAATTTTTTTTTGTTTTGTTTGTTAAATATAATTTTCTTGTTATTCATCATTTTTTAAAATGGTTTAAAAATGGCGACTCATCTTACACCAGAATTGAACTCCTTTGGCGAAAAATGTACGTTGGTGGTCAAATCTCTCCTCTAAAAAAGTCTTTGGATTGAAAGCCTTCCAAAAAGCCGATGTTGCCATATTCTATTCCCTAAAAACACAAAAAACCGAGTACCTGTATCAGTATTTGGAGGCTGTTCCTCACCGAGCTCATTGAGCAAATTTCAGCAAACCTTGAATTTTCATACGTTATGACCACATTACTAGTGATTATGTACATGTGTTTATCTATACAGCCTCCCACCGCGGCGCGACGTTGCCACATACCATCGATAAAATTCGATAAAAATCCGCGTTTCCCTAGATTTGAGCCATTTTTTCGAATATTGCACTTTGCGGTTTGAGAAAAAAATGGGGAAATTAGGAGGCCGCATTCTTAGCGATCGGTACCCGTCCAAAAGGACGGGGGTGGGGGGTCTAGGTCTAAGGGTGGGTAAAAATTCGACGCGGATCAACGGGCCGAAGATGTTGGAATTTGTTTTTGATGTCGTGCAAGGGGTCTATTACTATGTAATTTTGGTCGTAGAATCCGAATTTGAGGTCCAAAATTGTCTCCGGCTCAAAGGGATACCCAAAATCCAATATGGCCGCCAAAATTTCCACGATAGGGTCAAATCTCCGAGAGTTGCGTGAAAGTGCCGAGGAGAATATCTTTCATAGGGCTTTTTGGGTCGTAGATTTCGCCGA